TTAGATGGTAACCACCATGTCCCCGCTGCTGCATCAAATGATTAGAGATCATTTTCCAAAGTGTGACTTGTCGTTCTTCACCCAGTGTCACGGTGCAGGCATCTCCTGCGCTGGCCCAAAGGGCACGCAGCTGGTGACATCAGGGAAGGTGCATGTTGGGGCGTCTTGGCTGCAAGGTCCAGTCTCGTGTTGGGTTGTCCATCTCTGAAGGAGCCTGCTGCTAAGGTGCTCATTGTGGTGCAGGAGCAGTTGGTCAAAAATAGATGGAGAGAGAAATCCAATAATTAGAGGTGCATAAATCTCGCATTTAATAAGATTAAGTTAAATTCTAAATAACATTTGGAAATATAATCCCAATATTCTGTAGCAACAGAAAGGTATATTTTTCACATTCCAAAAGAGTTGTTTTTTTCTACTTGGAACCCAGTGTTAGTGCCTGGGAGCAGAGAGGATGGGGACAGTCTGGGTGCTGGGGATGCGTGGGAATGGCACCCAGGCTTCTTGCCAGTCTGGCCCAGCGCGACGCTCTGTCTGGTGGGTCTGGGAGCTGCTTCTCTCCCAGAACCTGTTCTCTGGCAGGTCCTGGCTGCTCGTGGCCAGCCATGGGATGTGAATATTCCCGTGTTTCTATCTAATGTATCAGACAGACTCACCTAGAAAGAATTGCCTTTAAAAACTTGACAAAAGCTCTTCCCAGGCAGCGTGTGGAGCAGTGTGAGGAGAGCCCACACTCCTCCACATCCTCCTGCTTCCTCAGCTGTAGTTCTCCAGCGTTCCCTGTTCCTGTCTCCCATCTCCTGCCCATCCCCTGGGGTGCCAGCGCTGCTGCTGAGCCCCTGCCACCCCTGGGCACAGCCCGTCCCCCCCGGCTGCCACCATCCTCTTGCTCCCTCCTCTCTAAATATAGAGGCTGCCCCTCCACACCCATCTCCTGGTGACTGGCTCCTCTCCATCCATCAGCCTCCCTCCCCGCTGCCTCCCTGACGGCTCCATTAGGCACAGGCTCCACGGCTGCTAAATTTAGGACCCAGGAAGGGAGCGAGCCTTTGGGCTGTGGACAGCCCATAAATCCAGCTCCCAAATGGCCCTCCTTTTGTCTGGAGTGGGATGGGCAGAGGTTTTGCAGATGAGGCACACGTGCCAGTGGAGGGGGGCAGGCACGAGGAGGAGGAGGCAGAGCAGGGTGGAGGAAGGGGAGGAGAAGGGGCTGAAGCAGGGGAGTGGTGAGGAGGGGGCTCCTGTCTGAATGGGGCTGGCTGTGCCACGGCAGCACCTCCCTCCCTCACTGGGGGCTGGGGGTCAGCAAATGTCTCTGAGGAGCATCTTCTCCTGCCCTGTGTGGGTGGCTGTGCTCACCATCACTGCTGGGACCTGCCCTTCCATGGAACCTCCTTCTTCCCCTCTCCCACCACCACCATCCCGTTTTTCATAGGATTAAAGAATCATAGAGTTGCCTGGGTTGGAAGGGACCTTTCAGATCATTGAGTCCAACCATCAACCCAACACTGACAAAATCCATCACTAAACCATATTGCTAAGCAAATTTTTTTGGCCGGGGAACTAGGAGGAGCTCATGGATGGGTGCAGGCTCTCCTCAAGCTGCTCCACACGCTGCCTGGAAAGAGCTTTTGTCAAGTTTTTAAAGGCATTTCTTTCTAGGTGAGTCTGGAATATTCACATCCCATGGCCAAGAGGAGCCGGGACCTGCCAGAGAACAGGTTCTGGGAGAGCAGCAGCTCTCAGATATATTATTTTTGTACATCCGTGTCAAGTTGTAAGAGTTGTGGGTGCTAACTTGTTCACAGGCTCAAGCCGTGTCCTTTAGGTGTGTTTTTGGTCTGGGCTGTGTTTCCTCGTCCCTTGGTGGGAGCACTGTGTGTCCCCATGGTGGTCAGGGTGTCCCCATGGTGGTCAGGGTGTCCCCATGGTGGCTGCTCCCCCCATGCCCTTCTCTGGCCAATCCAGCAGCAGCGGGAAGGAGCCGCTGTGGGGTGCAGGGGGTTCCCCGGCAGCATTTGGGGTCTCCTTCTCCTCCTGACCATGGTGTGCTCTGGGTGTGTGGTGGGGGCAGAGTCCAGTATCACCCCCAACCCAGAGCTGGGATCCCTCTGCCTCCACGGAGGAGCCTGAGCGAGGTGGGATCCAGGCGAGAGGGATTTCTCCTTGAGCTCTCCGCGGCGTGTGGCTGTGCCTCTCAGTCCTTGATGTCTCATTTCTTGGCGTGGCCTCTCTTTTTGCCAGTAAGATTAATCCCTTGGTTCTTTGAGACAGTTTTTCCCAGGACCGCAAGGATGGGGCTTGGTGGACGACCACCTCATCGGAAGATCCCCGGGGTGCCCTCAGCCCCCCTTGTGCCATCGGCCTCCAGGAGATCTCCCTCTGGATTAGGTAACCGCATCAGGCGGGGCTGGAAGAGCACGCTGGGTCACCAGAGGATGCTCCCTGCATGGTGACATCCCCCAGACACCCCAGAGCAGCGGCACGGCGAGGGCTGCGCTGCTCCTGGCCTGGCGTTGGGGTGTCCTGGTCCCTGCCGGTGGCGTGGGGTGGCCGGGGGCTGCTGAGCACCCACAGCTTGGGGGGGAATTGCCAGAGCACCCACCTTAATCCCTGTGATGCTGCATGGCCCACACCTCGGGCACTCACTGCTTTGATCACGGGACCCTTCATAAAAACATGTTTTTGAGCACACACCCCCCGTACACAATTCACTTATGTGTATATATATATACACCTGTTATAAACACACACACATATACCTGTGTGTGTATACATACACCTTATATACACACACACACACACCTCTGCTACTCTGCTCACGGACTGTGTGCACTGTAAAGCAAATAGAACAGAAAATACTCTAAATGCAACAGTAGGAACTACAAAATAGTGAGATAAGGATGGAATAAACATTTTAAAGTATTTTTAAATTTTATTACTGGTACAAAAAATGTTTTCTTCCCGCACCCCTGTGGAATGTCTCATGGCCCCACTTTGGAAATCACTGCCATAGGAGGGAGAGCCAGAACCACGAAGAGCAGGGCGTTATTCTGGGGGCACCAAGTGCCATCCTGCCAGGGCTGTTCTTCAGCTCTTCTCAGGAAAAAAAAAAAAAAAAAGGCACACAGGTGGAGTGGAAAAACAAGAATTGGGAATGGGAAAAAAAAAAGCAAGGCTGTGTTTTCCATACTATAAAGAAGTACTGTATTTGGTGATTTTATTTCTAAACTTCAGTAAAGTTAATTGTTCTGTCAGCGTGTTTGTGTGAGGGAGGAGTGGAGGTGTGTGCTGAGGGCGAGGTTCCTGGAGCAGGATGTCTGTGCTGGGTCACGGACCCCGTACCCCAGGGCAGAGGTGCCTTTGGGACCTCAGAGGCTGCAGCCAAGGCTTTGGGAATGGAGCCCAGTTTGGGGGGCAGCGGGGGCCAGTCGGGGAGGTGGGAGAGTGTGATACGGGGTGACGTGGCTCCTGCTGCTGCCTCCAGGGCTGTCGAATGTCCCCAGGGTGGGGAACTGGTGTGTGGCTGCTGTCATGTCACAGCATTCCCCTCTGCCAGCAGCGATGGTTTCATGTCATCGTGAGACCGTGATGAAAGGTTGGAAAGCGTGTCCTGGCCTGGGCTTAAAACAGAGTTTGTTGGGTGGGTGGAACAGTGGAAGCTGCCCCTCTGCCCTTGCAGCCCCTTCACTGGCTGGTGCCGCTCTGAATTCCAGCACAGGTTAAACCAAATGTTTATTTTACAGTCATAAAGTCATAGAATGGTTTGGGTTAGAAGGGACCTTAAAGACCATCTCTTTCCAACCCCCTCTTGTGTTGTTACTGCTTTGGGTGCAAACAGTTCCTGTCCCTCCTGAAGAACCAAAGGTGAGTCTCGTCCGCACTTGGCTCTTTGTCTCCTCTCTCACTCGCCCCCGTTGTGCATTCCCTGTTACCCTACTTGGTGACCTGCTGGATCTCAGTCAGGCCAACAGCTACAGCAGCCAAGGGCTGTGCAGGGGAGTGGTGGCAAAGCAGAGGAGTGGAGTTACCTGTAGTCTGGAGTCCCATCACCTGGCTGAAGCCATGGATGGGTTGGTTCAGTGTAACGTGTGCAGTTGGGTTCGGGGAGGACCCAGTTGCTTTCCACGGGGTGAGCAGGCACCAGGAGTCCTGGGTCATGCAGTAGATTTGGGGTTGGCAGTGTGATGCACATTCCTTCTGTGCAAGGATCATGGTAGCTGGGGATGTCTGGCTTAGACCCTTTTCCATCTCCCTTCCACGTCTCCTGTTAAGCCCTTAGCTGCAGACCCTATTTCCGATGTCTCGAGTTGGGTGCCTTCTTGTTGGCTTCACGGATGGGGTTGGCACGTTCTCTGGCTCTTTCACACTCGGAGGCAGGGAAGCAAAATCCTGAGTTGTTACACCCAAAAGGGAGATCAGTCCAAAAAGTCTGGCCTGAAAAGCCCACTGTCCCCACTGCGGCTGGAGCGCTGGTGGGACCGGAGCTGGTGGCTGGTAGAGGAGCAGGGACAGGAGTCTCTGGGTTCCCGTGCACTGGGAGAGCTCGTGACCACCGGGGAGAAGGAAGGCTTATGGGACTGTTACCAGCTCTTCTGTGGGAGCTGCATCCTTCTGCACTGAGACAGGAGAGATTGATGTGGCCAGAGAGAACAGGGGAAGGGATCTGGCTGCTGCCGCGGGACGTGACGTCTGTTTCCTTTCCAAGAGCTGATTCTCCTCTTGGGCTCTGCTCTGGAGTCGTGGTGGAATTTGGTGCCTTGATGTGGTTTAGAAGTTTTGATAAAGCGATGTTATGTCACGAGAAGCTGTTGGTGTGTGTATGGGACTGCACATGAGCATGCACGGGACCGATCACATGGACACGTGGCACCCAGATCATTGCCTGTGGATAAATGCGTGCATGGGAGCGGGGCTCACTCTGTGCGCGGGCGGGGGAAGCAGAGACCATGGGGGAGTGTTCCTTTAACTCTCAGCCTTGTGATGTGTCTTTTTTCTTGCAGAAACCAGAGAAGACAGAACAAAGCGTCTCTTCCGACATTATACTGTGGGCTCTTACGACAATTTCACCTCGCACAGGTAAGCAGCAGCGTCGTTCCTCTGTGATTCCCAGGAGGTTCGTTCCCATGGAAGTATCCCCTTTCCCTGACAGAGGGGTAAATGTTGTTTTCATTTCATGGGAAGGAAACTTTTGTGGTTGTTTGGTCAATTGAGTGATAGTCTGAATTATAAGTCCCAGGTAAGGCTTGGGTGAATAAAGTGTTGAAGCTGCAGGGAGGTCCAGCTCAGGTCCCAGCTGAGGAGCGAATGTTCTGGAGAACTTTTGGTGTGCTCCGGGAACTGAAGGACATGAGTCGGATGCAGGTTCAGAGTTACAGCTTTGCTCTGGAGTGAAACAGAGGAGGATGCTGTTCTGCAGGGATGGCACAAAGATGGCTGTGGCTCCAGCTGCCGGCAGTGACCATGAGAGTGTTCATGGGACTCTGTTGGTTTGTGGCCATTGGACGTACTCGCCACAGTGTGGGGACTGACCTTTGGGAAGATGGTCAGACTTGGTGGGGAATGAATCGTGAAAGCAGGGGTGACGTTGCTGGTTTGTGGTTGGTCTTGAGCACCCGTGGCTGGTGAACACATTCTAGGAGAGGCTGGACTCCAGGAACGGGGCTGCTGGTTGGGTCTAGGAACGTGCTTTTGGTGCTGGGTTTCTGTGTTTGAGGGATAAATGTAGGGTCACTGTGGAATCTAAGCTCTGCTTGCAGCCAGCCTTCAGTGCTCTTAAAAACTGTTGGTGTTGAAAGGAATTGGATGGGCTTTACTACTTGTGACGTGATGGAAGCAAATTGTGACGATTCATTGTACAAAAACTGGATTATCCTGAAGTCCTGGAGCGACCAAGAGGGCAGTGAATGTTTTTGTGCTTTACCGAGCTCCTTATCCCAAAGCTGTTCCCCTGGCTCTGAGCACTTTTTACTCAAAGTAACGTGTGTGACCTGTTTTGATTTTCCAAAGTCCCGTGACGTGCTTCTTCAGGGCTGTTTATATTCTAAACTGATCATGGGGTGAAAGAGAAAGTGCTGCCGTGACTCAGAAAACAGTAAAGAAGAAAACCAAAGTGGGGAAGACAGTCCGTGTCCACCACGGCCGAATGCTGCAGGGAACCCCCAGAAGGTCTGGGCTGGGGTCACTGCTTGCTCTTGGGCTTAATGGGCAAGAAATAAGTCAAAATTTGCAGATGAGTCAAAATTACATTCCTAAAGCAAAACAAGAGTAGGTGGATGGGATCGCATCAAGCGGGGTGGATAAACAGTGTGATAGTAAAACAAGGTTATTTTTGGCACATGGAAGATGACACACACAAACACTGAGATACTCTTGCCCATTAAAGATTTTTCAGCTCCTCATAATTGCTCAGGAATAAAGATCTGACATCACTGTGGCATCACAGTAAAATCATCTTCTCTAGTACTGAGGCACTCAATAAAACAGATGAAAGAGTAGGTCAGAAAATGCAACTGAAGCAGTTGTGAGGTGGGTCCCTGGTGGCCCTGGTACCGGATGGTCAAGAGCAGCAGAACACAACACAGAAAACCAAGTAGTAATGCTTATGGGAGAAAAATCAGTAGCAGTACTTCATATTTAGTGAAGGTGTTGGACTGACTTCTGCTCAGGAACAAGGTTTGGGACTTACTTGGAGTCCAGTCCAAACCTGCAAAAAAAAAATTGAATTTTTGGAATTGTTACAAAAGGGAAAAAGAACAAAATGGAAAATGTAATTATTAATATCTTTGCATAAGTCTCTACTACACCCACATGTTGAAACCTGCATGCAGTTCTGGGCTTTCACCCTTCAGAAGTAATACTTGAAAAGCTGGCAGAGAAAACTAAGAGGTGCTCAAAGCTGTGCAGCATCTTCCATAAGAAGTGAGATCGGATAGACTGGGGCTTCCAGGCCGGGAGAATGATGGTGAAGGAGAGTGGGTTTGCTACAAGTCCATAAATGTGTGGTACAGAAAAGGTGAACCAGAGGTAGCTGGTCTCTGCCTGTCCCTTCCCATGCAAGAATATGAGGTACTGAATCATAGAGTCATAGATCATTTAGGTTGGAAGAGACCTTTAAGATCATGAAGTCCAACCATAAAGCTAACACTGCCGAGTCCACCACTGACCCGTGTCCCTCAGTCCCACGTCTACATGTCTTGAGAAAAAAATCACAGAAAGTGAACAAAAAGAGGAGGTTCTCCCTGTAACTTACAGCTGAGCTCTGCACCCAGTTGTCTGTGTCTTCTCGCAGATCATGGTCCGGCTGGTCTTGGCGTTCCCAGGCAGTCGGTGCACGCAAAGTGCTGATGAACTGGGCTGCTCTGCTGATGTGTGACTGGGGTCTGCTGGGTGACAGTAATGGTGCTGACACTGGCTGTGGAAATTTGGGGTTCCGACAGATTTCAGTGGGTTGGATTGGAACAGATTGGAGGATTTTAGCTGCATCTCCATAGTATGGTGCATAGTTGTGCGACACAAAAGCATGGGGACGGCCGCTGTGGAGCAGAGTGCAGGTCCTTCGGGCCAGTGTCCCGTGGTGCACGGTGGCCAATGGCAGGTGCTTTGTGCCGTTACACGAACAGAAGCAGCAACCCCAAATATTATTCCTGCCTGCAGCAGTTTTCCCTTCAGAGCCTTCCTGAGCCAGAGGCAATGTCTTTGTCTTTAATAGCCTTTAATGGGTCGTTATTCCATTAATTTGCCCGATGACATGCAACTCGCGTGCTTCTACCCTCTCTCCAGAAATGGAGAAGGAGCCAGGGCTGGCTTTGGTGGAGACGGTGAGACAGTGGTGGGGCTGAGCAGTGGGTGCTGTGTCTTCTGCTCCTGCTGGGTCAAAATTACAGTGGGAAGACCAGAAATGGAGAAGTTGTTTCTTAAAGCATATATATGTGCTCGCCGTTTGCTCGTAGGTTGCTCTGGGTGCAAGTGAAACAGCATCACCCTTGAGTTAGGGAAAACCGGTGCGAGATAGAACAAGTGGGCCTTTGTCACCTTCCCTGAGACCCCGCGCTGGAGCCTGTGGGCACCCACCACCCCGTCTCTGGGGTGGGTGGTGTGAGTAGTGCTGCTGGAGCCACCAGCCACCCAACCAGCAGAAGACATCCCGTGACAGCAGAAGACATCCCAATGGGTGCTTGCAGAAGCAAGGTTTCAGCAGAGGCTTCTCTGCTCTGTTTCTGGAGTTCAGAACGTGGCTGTGGGGGGGAGCATGGGGGAACGGGGCCGTCAGGGCCCCAAGGGTGCATGTTGTTGGTGTTTTGGGGTGGAAGCAGAGTTTAGAGTCGATAGTGGGCAGCTTGTGGAAGTGGGGTGGCCCTCAGGAGCATGGTATGAGGATCCACGTGGTGCTTCTAGGATCACCTTAATCAATAAGACAAAGAAAATGGATTTTTTTTTCCCTAGTTTTTAAAAATATTAAGCGTTTTGGCCAATAGATTCCTTGAGAGCAGAAATGAAGGGCTGACGAGGGTGCGGTAAGATGACTGCAGCAGATCGATTAACAGGATCTGCCAGAGAGCGCTTATTCCATCAGCTCTGACTTCACTGGAGGTCTCAGACGTGGGAGAAGATTAACATAATGACAGTGTTTGAGGAACAACTTAAAAGTACTTGAGAAAATTACACACAAGTGACTTCAGATTTCAGGAAAAGCCTTTGAAATAGTTGCAGGTTTGAATGGATGCCCTGTGCAGTGGAGCAGGGAACACGGCTGAGCTGGAGGCTGGGGCAGGGTATGTAATTTGGTCTTTTTTGGCTTAATAAGGTGGAAAGAAAGCGATGGATATGTGGAGGGGTATGGTTGAGAACATGAGAAGACAGGAGGCTGTATAGTGAATACAGGTATTGTCTTCAGTGGAATCAGGCCCTGGGGAAGCAGAAGGAGACGGTTGGGGTGAGGTCTGCTCGGGTGGAGGGTGAGGGGCTGTTCTGGGCCAGGTTCCCCCCTCTCATCTGTCCCCCTTTGAAGCGTGACTGCAGTTAAAGAAAGCAGAGAGCTGCTGCTCCGGAGTGGGGTTTGCTGGGGTGCACCCCAGGTCACCAGAGAGCAAGGAGAGCCTTCCCCAGGCCCCTGGGGATGAGGAGCGTGGGACAGGGCTCAGCAAAACCTAATCTGGTCTGAAATAGGAATAAGGCAAACAGGGAGAGAAGCCTGAGCTTGTTCTTACCAGAAAGAGGCAATCACAAGGGGAATTGACTTTTCTGATCAACTGTGTTAAGGGAAGAGATTAAAGTGATTTGAAATTAACTCTATAAAATTAAGAGCCCACATTCTGCAAGGCACAGCTGGGAAGAAAAAGAATTGGGAGCAATAGACAATTTAGGATTTATTTTTTTTTTATTATTCAATCACAGGGATTAGTTGACCAGGGAGAGAGATTACAACTGTGGGCATTCACAAGCCATCTGGATGGGCCTCTCCTTAGAAGAGGGGAAAAGCATGAGGAGGTCTCTGAGCAGGCATTTCTGTGTCCTTAGATGATGTGGCTGGCCAAATATGTCAATACACAGAATTATTTAGAATAATTTAGGTTGGAGGGGACACATCTGGAGGTTTCTAGCACAACCAGTTGCTCAGAGCGGGGCCAGCTCCATCAGGTTGCTTTGCATGTCTCCCAGGCTGGAGGTCCCACAGCCCCCTTGTGCCCATGGTTGGTTTCCAGGCTGAAAATGTTTTCTATATATGTCATTGTAATTTCTGGTGCTTCAGTCTGTGTCTGTTGCCTCGTGTCCTATCCCCTGTGCACCTCCAAGAGTTTCCTTCTCTCTTCTGTACAGCCTCCCGTGAGGTGGCTGCAGGTGGCAGTGAGGGGTCCACCATCTCTCCTCCCAGCTGAGAAGGCCCAGCACTCCTGGCCTCCCCCTGTGGGCTGTAGCCCCCATCTACTTTGGGGGGACTGAGTGAGAAAACTCACCTGGAGACACTGTGACTGCACCCATGACTTGCTGTTTCTCCTTTCCCTGACGTGCAGGAGGGCAGTACCGTGTTTGCCCCCATTTGGTAGCCTCGGTGGCTTCTATTCCCTTCTCTCCCTGGG